TTTGCATAGTTCCGTTGCCAGACATACGGCTGAGAAAAGGATAAGTTATGTGCACTTCTACTGATGGTTATTCTTCTTTTTCCTTTCAAAACCTAGATAGTAAGATTTTTGGAATTTTACTTTGGTAAATAGGTGGAGTTGATTGCGATGTGCAGGTGCAAGTTTGATCTTCCTCTAGTTGATAGTTAGTCAATAGGTGGAGTTGATTGCGATGTGCAGGTGCAAGTTTGATCTTCCTCTAGTTGATAGTTATTGTGAAGAATATTATAAGTTATATATAATAAACTTGTTTCTATTATAAAGTAAAAAAACTTTATTTATAGGGCTATAAATAACTCTAAAAGGAAATATTGCGTAATAATTATACAATCAACTATTAAGGAAAATAATCATACACTATTGGAAATAATCAAAATTGCTTGTATTTCAACCAAGCCGAACATACAACTCAAAGTTGATGATAATGAAAAATCATCATCCACCAATCTAACCAAACCATCACCAAGACTGGAAGGAGAAATCAGATGATAGTCAATCTTAATAAGGGTTGGAGAGGAAGAAGAAACACTCATATCTGCAAGTAACCAACGCATCCACGCATCCACTACTAAAAATCTCAATACGGGTTGGAGAGAAAAAAGGAACACCCATATCTGCAAGTAACCAACGCATCCACTACTAAACCAAAGTGTTGCAAATTTCATATCCAAATTAATTGGATGCAAATTTCAAATTCCAGCTTGACAATTACCAAATGAACTGGACGCAAATTTCAAACTTCGGATACACCGAACCCAACCAACACCAAATCAAATTCCAGATGAACTGGACATATATTAAACCAAATTCCAAATGAATTGGACCAAATTCCAGATGAACTAAACATATACTAAATCAAATTCTAAATGAATTGAACCAAGTTCGAGATGAACTGGACATATACTAAACTAAAGGGATACATCCGAAAAGAAAAACAAAAACATTGGTAGCTGGACGAGTGGCTCAAGGCTGCTCATCGGAAACGAAATTCAAATGTTAATTTGTTAAGGATCGAAACTGCTCTGATACCATATGAAGAATATTATAAATTGTATATAATAAACGTATTTCTATTACAAAGTGAAAGACCATATTTATAGGGTTATAAAAATTCTTTCCATATCTTCAACAGTTATATTTTAATTCATTAGTCAATATACTTCCTTACATTTTTGGAAACCACTTTGGAAAACATATTCTTGGAAGCTATGTTGTCTAGCAGTTCTGCTTTTAAAGATTGATTTGATTGAGTTACAAAAGCAATACAGACTTTGGTTATATAGAGAATTGAAACATTCTTTTATCTTTAAGAAATGCAATAAATAATAAACTGACTTTTATTAGGTACCTGAACCTCTCTTTATTTTGATCAGATTATGGTCGTACTTCAAATTCTACTCAATCAACAGTTCTTTACATGCATAATTTGCAGCGAGTAGAACCAGAATAGGTTTTTGTGTGGCCTCCTTGTAAAGTCCCTAAGATTTACTTCACCTAGAAGTTTCTTTACTTTAAGCAGAGGATGCTACTGTGAAACTGCCCGTATTTTCTTGAAGTATCTGATTTGCACTGGCTTTAATTTTTATTTTTTATTTTTACTGAAGTAAGAAGCCTGGACACTCTCAAGAGGGATATTTGTAATTATCGGACGCGAGGCATTAATTTAACGCACATTGTAGACGTGCATGACTCTCCTACTTTATACTTATACTTATCAGGAAATAGAATTCCATTCATGTCAGTCAGGCGATTCTCAAGAAATGAAGGACACTTCTATGACACTTGACTGTATTATTAAACCTGAGAATTGAACACCTTTTTTTTTACAATACAATTAGTTCTCATGGTAAAATAGTGTTACACTAGAATGACTAAGCAATAATGTAGGTAAATTTTCCATGAGATTAAACAAGTATAAGAAGCCCTTTACTTGATAAATTAGCATGAAATTTGTTTGTTCTGACAGTTAATAGGGGGATCCATTCAACGGGAGTTAAGAAAATGGGAGGGGGGCATGGCCACGATGAGCCTTTCTACCTTCATGCAAAGCACATGTACAACTTGGACAGGATGAAACATCAGCAATTGAAGATGACTCTTGGTGTCCTTTCGGCATTCACCATTGGTGTTGCTGTCCCAGTTTACGCCGTCATCTTCCAGCAAAAGAAGACTTCGTCAGCATAACTTTTCTTGTTAAATCCTCTTTTCGTGCAATAACAGAGATTAAGCTGAAATGCTTTCTGTAGACAAAAGCGTGGAATCTACCATTTGAAAGAATTGATATTTTTTTGTCACCACTTTGCTATGTCATACTACTTATTTGCTAAGTTTCAGGTTGAAAATGGTGGCTTGCAAATGCTTTATCAATAAGATTTCTTTGATGTTTTCGTAATATGATGGTCTATTTAACTGATTTTTTTTATTTTTTTAAATTTCCTTCACTTTTGCTGCTAATTTTTATCTAATGATGCACGCCATGGTATATGATCTCAATATCAAATCCATAGTCTAGTTGAGTATTGAGGGCTAAATGGACTTCATTAATATAATAACGTAGTAGAGTGCGTAAAAGTCTCGAATTAAAGTTTTGAAGGTCATCTAGTTATGAAAATTTCTTGTGCCATGCCTTTAACGAAGAAAACAATGAATAAGACCGATCGTTTGAGATATAAATATGAATCATGAATTGTTGTGAAATTTGACTCGGTGTTTAATTAGTTAGCACGCCTTGGATTGAGTACTTGTTTGGCAGAGTTTAATTTGGATTTAAGGTGATCAAATAAACTTTTTATCCACACATTTTATAGGACTTACAATTTAATATTTACTTATTATTTTTACTTTTTATAGGATTCATAGTTTATAAGATCTATCAAGCAAACGCTCGGTATCTAATCAGATCGGTAATTGTTGAACAATTTCTCGCCAAAGACTGGATTTTCCCAGGGATTTTCTTTCTCATGCTATCTGAGAAATAGAGGCGATACTCCCGACCACCGAATGAAAATGGTGTGGTCGACACCTGATGGTAAAGTGGTACTTCGATATAATTATAGCAGAAATTGTCTCATACCTGGAGTCAATAATCTTTTAGTGGAATTTATATCAGGGAATTTGACGCGTCTCCTCTAACTATCTTGTCAAATCACGTTAGAATTTATAGTTCAATAATTGTTTCCATTTAAACTTGAGTATTTGACATGCAATTAATTCTGCTCCGTTCAGCCGTACCTAACTAGATATATTGCGGTCGATAGTGGACCATGGACCCCGTTGAGCGCTCGTCGTTCAACAGTAGATACCTTATAGTGAGTATATGATTTCCCGGTTGGAAGTTTGAGGTCTTGACCCTTGTTTGATGGCCATTATTTGGGTAAAACGTTGTTTTCAATAGTGATTTTTAGAAGAATGAGTTGTTAAAAAGTAAGAAAATGTTTTAAATTCGTGTAGAATATTTTATCATGTAAATGTATGGTTAAAAATAAGTACGTAAAAAAAAGAGTTTTTGAATTAATTTTGATGTACATCTTTGGCATCATCCAACGATGACATTCCCTTAGATGAAAGGAATGCATGTAGTGATGAGATGAATGTGTTTAAAATCAATGGTGTAGATTGCTAACTCATGGAAGAGTGTCAAGCTTGTTGTCAACCATGATGTACATTTAGCATGATTGTTTCAAATAATGGTTGTCAGACAGCAATACAGTTATTTGTATAAAGTTGAGTTACAAAAATTGGGTTACAAAGTGTGTAACTTTGTACATGTAGCATAACTCGTCAGACAGTGACTTGATTATGCCAAACTATGTAATGATGTCCTTAATTTTATTACAAAATAATATTTACTTTTAAGTAATTTTTATAGTTAAATAATGACCAATCAACTTGTCATTCAAAGTAGAAGAGTAGATACAAATAGACAAGGTGGGCACCGTATTCTGTCCCTAGCGTTTCAAATAATCAAGACAATACAAATTTCATCCGAAAAAATATTAATGTGAAAACCCAAAGTTCCCAAATAGAAAATGACTGTCTATGAACAAAAGTCATCAATTTCCGCAACTATAACCTCTTATCCTTAGGTCAAGTCTTCATTAAGCACACCAAAATGGAAATAAGCGATCATTCCAAAGAACGAAGATTAGAGGCTAAAAATTGAGACTTGAATGTTGTAAAAAACAACAAAAACCTTTCATTATTACAAAGTCGTTCTAATATTTATTTGAATCATGCTTAGTGTACATAATTTTTTCACCATAATGGTGTCCATACACACACAAGTGGTGGGACCCATTCAAATAAAATATTGGGTTTTGTTATGTGTACACAATGTAGTACACAAAGTTTTACACCTCATTCACATGGAGGGAGACCCACACACAATAAAATATTTGTGGGTCTCCTTCCATGTGAAGGGGTGTAAAACTTGGTGTACACCTTGTAGTGTATAGCATTTTCCTAAACTATTAAAGTGGGTCCCAGCACTTGTGTGTATATGGATACCATTATAGTGAAAAAATTATGTACAAAAAGACAAATCTTATTTATTTCCACCATTATTTGATATATACAGTTATCTCGATGTAATCATTTTTTTTTAAAGTTAAAGATAAGATGTAAAGATATTCATGATTTTTGTGATGTTTCTATGATTTTTACTATATAATCGTTATACTGTATAATCTTTTTAATCCCTTTCCATCCATCTCAATTACGTTTAGTCATATGGTTAATTTGAGCGTTCGTGTCTCAATTATATTTACTTTATAATCTGGTTTGAACAAGATTTGATACAGAAAAAAGTGTGGAGCAAAGAGGAACATTGAAAAGATGAACAAAAGTAGAAATCTTATCGTCAAGAAAGTAATAAAATAAGTAAAATCCAGCTACGAAAAACTAAGAGTTTAACAAGAAAAATTAAGGGATTTTATTTTCTAATACAAATCATCAATATGGAACTATTGAGAATTTTTGGGATTTTCATCATCACTGACATTATCATGTTGCTGGTTTTCCTCTAAATTCATCCCCAAATCGATCCTACTCTTACCATTACTATATGCATTGATAGAGGCCAGTAATCCCATGTTTGTAGAGTCTGAGACGGGTCCCAGCTGCTGAACCGGTGGTGATGGGTGTTGCACCACCATTGATCCGGGGTTGAAACGATTGGGGGAGGGGTTGTACTGCCAGAAGGGGTGTTCTTGCTGCCCTGCACCCACAGGAGCCATGGCAGTTCCGCCAGTCACAGGCAGCATCCAGAAGGCGTTACCGACATTGGCGGTCGCTGGTGCCACGGCCCACATGGTGGGAGCCTGGATGAAGCTCGAGGACTGAGATGACCCGGGTTTTGGCTCCGGACCCAGTTCGTGATCTTGCATGATGTTTCTCCTAGGTTTAGCATCTGAATGTGAGATTTCAGCATCTAGGTATTGCCCAAAACCACCACTGTTTGAGGTGATCTGGTGGTGGAACCCAAGCATGCCGGTGGTGCCACCGACAAAGAGAGGCACAGACTTGGATGGTGAAGGTGAAATGGTGGTGCCCCTGCTGCGTAAAGAAAGGTTGAGAGTCGAAAAATTGGCCGGAATTGTACCTGTGCCAGTGGCAGCTACAATTGATGGTTCAGCTTGTTGCAAAAGCCATTCTATGGTATCACCATCGGACTTGTGGCCTAACTCTTTGGTCAGCTGGAAAACTCTGGCTGCACATAAGGCCGGCATGCGGATGCGCCGCCCTCGGCCATCCACCTTGGTGTGTCGATCCTTGGATGGTTTCTTGGCCACAGAATCATTCTTATTGCTGTTATTATCATTATTATTGGTTGTGTCCGGGATGGTGGAGGAGGAGGAGGTGGTGGAGCGACGGTGGGCGGTCAGGGCATGTCCGGGATCTGGTTGACTTGGTTGGTGGTGAGAAACCAGTTGGAGAAAAGCTGGTTCTTTGGAGCCACTATTAGTCCCTTGGTTTTTAGTGTGGGACTCCATAAAGTTATGAGTTTTGTTGTCAAGAAAATTTTCTTGATATCTCAAACATATTGATGAATTGATGGAAAGACTTCGGAGTCAACTGAATAAGTGACATTGTGATTAATGGGGTTCTTCTCTCCCTGGGCCAGTGGACACCCAAGCTCGTTTCGACTTGTTGGACTACTTGGGATCGGCCCGTGGCCCCTACTCATTTAGGACCCAACCGAGCTAGGCCTCATATTTTTATAAAAAAAATAAAATTATATAATAATTAGCACTTACAATGTAATGTAGATAAATAATAGTAACGAAACTTTAGAACGTGACAAAAATGAATTCCAAAATTGCAAGTTGCCAATACAAGTGGCAAAAATCACAATTTAGGCCTAGTCGCAGGCCTATACGGATAGGTGGAGATACGAGGTGGTCCATGAGCTGGCTTGTAAGGCTAGCCTAGTCCTCATGCTCATTTTGGCTCGCCAAGCTGAAAATCAAGCTCGGCAGTCTTGGCTCGTTTAAATGCAAGCACGAGCCAATGATTGGTCTGGGACTGGGACTATTGCCACCCCTACTTTCCATGTGGTCAATTGTTATAAATTAGGTCCTATTTTTTTCTTTTTTTAAAAGAGCAACAAGAAAAATACACACATTTTTAGTATTTCACTCTCAAGAGTTAAATCCACCCGCCGACACAAGTTCACTTTGAAGAAGAAAATACATTAATCTCGCACCTCTCAATCCTTGTGCTAGAGAAGTCCTTTAAATATCCTATAGTACAGAGATGAAATATTCAATATACAGCAAAATCTCTATATACTTATACTCTATATAGGAATAACATCTATGTAGCGATTAAAAAAAAATTGGTCGCAACTTATGCCAGTCACGAATAGAAAACTCTCCATATTGTAATAAATTATAATTGTTTTAGGTCCCATCTTAATTCACATAGTAATAATTATATGTATATTTCAAAAAAATATATGTCACGTTACATTAAAGGTTTAAGAGCTTCTTGTTGATGAAACTTTATGTATTTTCGTACTATCATCCTGGGGATTATCTCCTTCCCCTTGTCTAATTGCAGCGATGATTTCTTATTCAGTTAAAGCGTACATGACTTGCTGCTCGTTTAGATGATTAAGGAAAACATTAGTATCCATTTGATTAGTATAATGAAGTTGTCAAATTTGTTCACTCAAATCTGCATGACTTTTTGATTTTCCTTGTTCACTTCATTTGAAACTTGTAGTTCACTGATGTCGGGGTCCTAGTTTATGTCACGCTCTTGATTCACCACTCATACTGGCATGCTCTTGATGGCTTACGAACCATTCATCTATGGCAAACACCTTCTCTAGGTACTTTACGATCTTTGAACGTTTTGCATTTGGGTTCAACAATACTTCTTCCTAAAGGAGGTCTGTTGATCGTTTTTTAGTGTCTTAAATATTGATGCTTGTAATACCTTAAGACCATAAGTATTTTCTAACCACTTCATAAGATTCTTTTCCTTCCAGTTGAGGTTCGATTCTTTCATTTTACACAACTCTAACACGAATATTTTCGCTAAGTTGAGTTTGTGTATTAATTTTGGGTGGCATGGTTGATTTACTAGAGAACTAAGGAAAGTTATCGCTTGAATTGGTTAGGGATTGCATGAATTACGTTGTATACTAGTTTTTTGGAATTTTGTCCATCTATTTTCTCAACGTATGCACTTTGAATTTGACGTGCTCTATATTAATATAGTGCACCACTTGTAATAAGGATAATTAAATCAAAATAAGAATTTTTGTGGCTACATATATATTATGTTGTAACATCTTCATAGGAATTAAATAATTTGATCCAAACAATATGATTATAGAAAAAAATTTGATGTATTCCCAATCCATTAAGCTATGCACCACTCAACATTGACAGCTGAATTTGATGAGAAAGCTGAAAAAAGTAGCTGTGAATGACTACAAAAGGTAGCACCAATAGAGAACCAGTATGAGATTTTGTGTTAGCTGGGAGAGTTGTTGTCTAAATCCAAATGTTGGGTGGCAGGTTGCTGGGGTGGGATCCCACCTGGAAAAAAAAATATCAGGCCATGTTTGAGCTACATTAAGTCTTTCATTCTCATTCTTAACCACACATTTTTTGATAAAATAATATTTTTCATTACATCAATAACTTTTCCTTCTTTTCAACCACTTATTCTCCATTACATCAACAGTAAAAATACATTCTTTTTTCAAAAATGTAAACCAAATGAGGCTATAGCAGAAGAAGCTCAGCAGGGCCCACTGGTGTGGCCTCTCATTTGAGTACAATACAGTACAATTTAGCTGGCTTCAAGAATTGCCAGCAGCCACACACTATTTCTTTTGGGGAAATTCTCTATTCAATCCACCTGGATAGATAATTGACACTTTGTCATCTATCTTTTAAAGTAATAGGCACATGAAAAATGGGGAATAGGTATCTGTCAAATAATTGTGTTATAGATCACTTTTTTTAATCAATTATTCATTCTCCACCTCCCATTTCTCTATTTCCCTTTTCATCCCAGGTTGCCATATTCAATCAACGGATATAGCAATGAAGGGTAAATGATAAACGGATTCGTCTAGTCGACTCTAAATGAAAAATTTGTTGTCCCTCACTAAGATCTGCTATATCAAAAATGAGAAAAAAACAAATATTTGTATCTTTTTCACCTTGTTTCACCTTGAGTCAAAAAAATCAGTAAAAGTAGAGTAGTTCTTCCCTTAGCCCCTGTTTGGTGCTTGTTTTCTAAAATTCCTTTTCCCACAAACTCATTTTTAACCACACGTTCTCTCAATAAAATAATTTTACACTTGGATTCATAACTTTTTCCTAATTTTTAACCATACATTCTCTAAAGAGAGTTATCTGAAGAGGGAAATTGCCACGGCAAGAGAGTTAGTGAGTAGAGATTGAACCTAAGAAGACAAATAGTGACATGAGTGAGTAAATGTGTACGTTTTTAATGCAGGAACTCATTCAGGACAGTGTAGAGAGAACTAGCATCTAATGAAGCAAAGAAAAGTCATAAGAGAAGGTAAATCAAAACTAACATACCCTGTTATAATTGTTGTAGACTTGGTCGCTTTAGATTTTCAAGTTGTTCTAGCAATAAATTGAATGAAATGGCATAAAAAGATTCGTGTAGAATATTCTAAATTTATTGAGAATAATGCTTACACTATTTACGTCTTTCTTTTAGTAAATTTTTTAAAAATCAAGATAAACATTGATAAGTGTTAAATTTGCATTTATCTAAACCATCAAAAGTGACTTTTTTTAATATTATCGTGAACTTGATACTTAATTATTTGTGTTTTTTTATTATGTTATGAGAAAACTCGAGATCAAAGCAAATATTGATCAACAAGGATGAAATTGAATAAAATACGCTTTGTGATCAAATTCCACACTTTAGAAATTGAAGGACTTGCATTGATATAAAAAGGGCATTGGTTGCACAATTAATTGGACTCAAGGTTTAAATTGCATCCTTCAAAATAATTGAGGACTTGAAGACAAAAGACTGATTAATTGGGCCTTGATAAAGTGGATTAAGGGAGATATCATCTGATGGACTAGTCTCCCTTTTGGACTAGAAGCCGGTGGCAAAATGAAGAAGAAATTACACCTAGACCTGTTTTAAAGATGACAATTCAAAAATAAGATGTAAAGTTTATTTAATCAAAAATCAGGTAATAATTTAATTATTAAATATTAATAATGATATTATAAAGTTAAATTAATATATACACTCACCCACTATACCCATCTATCCCAACCCAATTTCATTCACAGACCTAATTCATTTCACAACCTGTTTCATCTCTCTATCCACAAACTTCGTCACCACTAGAAGAGGATCGACGCCGTTGCCGCTCTCTTGCAATGGCGCCGACTGTGGGACCTCTGTCCCTTGGTGTCTCTGCTCGGGAACACCACAGTCGTGAGGACCTCTGCCCCCAACTGCGTCGCACAACCTCTGCCTAGTCCAAAAAACACCGTAGGAAGAAATGATGCAACCAGAATACATCACTCTGCAGTACTATGACACGCTACTCATGCGACATTGTGTCGAAAGAAGAGATGATGCAGTCAGATACGTTGCGTTGCAGTCAATTGGATCTCGTTTAGGATTTATACGATGATGCCGATGTCGCTGCTACTACAGTTGATGCGATCTGATTTTGGATCAGGTTGTGCAATGATTTTGTTGACGATGTTTGTAGTTGGTGGTGGTGATGTAGATGTGTAGATCTGCGCCGCTGTGTAGAGCATCTATACAGTGGTGTCTTCCCCGCTGTTATGTGATCTCTTGTGGTTGTGCACATCTGAGCGGCGGATTGTGGATGGTGGTGTCGATGGTACTGGTGGTGGTGGTGTTGGTGGTAATTGTGGTGGTGGTGTAACGACCCGGGTCCCACTTAACGGGCTGTCCCGATCGTTAGATCGACGACGTACTGTCCCCACTGTACCAACATGGGTCTTTTCAGCATGCTTTGTCCTTAGTCGGTGTTGCTCGGCATTGAAATTAATATATACACTCACCCACTACACCCATCTATCCCAACCCAATTTCATTCACAAACCTAATTCATTTCACAACCTGTTTCCTCTCTCTATCCACAAACTTCGACACCACTGCAAGAGAATCGACGCCGCTCTCTTGCAATGGCGCCGACTGTAGGACCTCTGCCCCTAGGTGTCTCTGCTTGGGAACACCACAGTCGTGAGGACCTCTGCCCCCAACTGCGTCGCACAACCTCTGCCTAGTCCAAAAAACACCGTAGGAAGAAATGATGCAACCAGAATACATCACTTTGAGGTACTATGACACGCTACTCATGCGACATTGTGTCGAAAGAAGAGATGATGCAGTCAAATACGTTACGTTGCAGTCAATTGGATCTCGTTTAGGATTTATGCGATGATGACGATGTCGCTGCTACTACAGTTGATGCGATCTGATTTTGGATCAGGTT